CCAAGTTCTGCCGGCGAGCGACTTGAGGACCTTGTTACGGCTCTGTACGTTATTGACAACTGCGGTTGTGTGCGTGGAGTAGGAGAGCAGGGTGCAGATGCCCTCTTAATCTGCAGTGTTCAAGGGGAGGTTAATTAGAAGTTTATATATTTTTAGATTAGGTTGCTCGGGCATTTACCCATAGGCACGGATAGCTTCATCCTAGGGCCATAAATGCCTGCCCCAACACCTTCTGGTATTTTGGAGTCATCAGAGTACCACTGAATGGTGCTGGAATGTATATACCCCTCCAAACTGGAGTTGTTCCTGGTAACCTTAGTGCAATGCTCTATCCTAGGGCTAGTGGGAGCTAGGATCTTAGCTTCTCCATGTTCCTAGACGATAGGACCTTGCCTCTACCGTAACCTTTAGGATAGTACCTATGTACGTCTGGCAGCCTGCTCTATGTCGATGTGCAGGGCTCAAGCTCAATAACTGCCTCTCCCATGGGGCATGCGAGCATTGCTCCTGTAATGCATACACAAGCTAGACATTGAAGTTTGGCGAGAGACTGTCTCACCGTGGTCAAGGCAGTTCTTTAAGCCCAAGCCGCGGCCCTGTAGGTCACTATTGGTCGTACTATGATGGTGTACAACCATCTCAGGATCTTTGGGCTGCACTCCAAGACTTACCCGCTAAACGCCTGCACACCAGTAGTGCTCCCGCAGCTGCGTACCCTTGACAGCGGATGCCATTGTCAGAGGGGATTTATAGCAGTTCGTCTACTATTAAGCTCCAGAGAATGAGTGATAAAACTCCTGCTTGCGGGCATCCCTTGGCTGTTTCTAGCTGTCCCAGTTTCTTTAAGTGATTATTATTTGGAGCAGTGCAGCTATCCATCTGCGGATAATTGCCTGCACCATTGGACTCTCCAACGCCCGACAAACCCCACCATCTTATGTGTTGTCGAAGGCCTCCTCGAAAATTTTTGCAGCGCTGAGCGGTTCAAATTCGTCGTCTAGCCTGGCACTGTACGATTCGACAAGTTAAGCCAAGGTATATCACTTCTTTCGCGGAGACGTCTCTCGATGATTAGAACTGCTTGAGAACGTTGACTAAGAACTGGTCCTCATAATGCGACCATTGAGGGAATACTCCGGCTGTATTCTAACGGTGCTTTATCGACACTAATCCTCATCGACGAGTAACAACAAATACAGCAACAGCGCTTTTATTGGACTCAGAAGAGTCCTGACGAGCCATCCCCTAGAAAGGGAGTGTTCCACGAAAGGCCCTTCGCAAATCAAGTACTTGGGAACTGAGAACCACCTACAGCAGCAAACAAGGTAAAGGTATTAGTAAAAATGTACTGTCAAGCGTAATCGGTCTCAGCATCAGATGTGTGAAATGCCAGCCCGGCGTCAGCAGAGAGACATCTCCTCCAACATCATGTTTCAAAAACTGGGCCAGGCACATTAACCCGTGGCAATGTTATTTGAAAGGTGGTCGCACCCAGTGGACAGCACTTCAAGTCAGGATGGATTCTTATGAACTGCAAAGACGATAGACCAGCGAACTGGCTTGCAGAGTTGCCCTCAAAACTTAAGGGTTAGAAGGAACACAAAGCTGTTACAAAAGTGGATGTCATTCCTCCGATAGGCAATATTACTATATTCCTACCAAAGAGCGCTGACAAATTAGCAGAGTACGCTGTTGGGCTATTCAAAGCGCAGATCGAGGGTCGGAGCAGAGATAAGAACTAGTAAAACAGCATAAACTACCTAAATAACAGATTCAGTTTCGTTGGGCCTTAGAATAAAGGCTACGGCAAACAAAGTGGCAGACTCGCGGAAGAGTGAGGTCGATGCGGACATCGCAGGCCAATTAATGGAGTCAATCCTGCAGAATAGGTGCTCACTACGCGTAGCTAAGCAGCGGTAACTAGAGGATGTTTATCTGGACAAATTTGAGCTCGACAAGCTATCTACTACATTTGGCAGTGGTAGTGGCACGTCGTGGCTGCTTCAGCAATAATAGCCAGTAGGTTTGCCATGGAAGATCTGATGACTTCCGCTGTATATCACAAACATAACATAACACAACATATAACATAAACATGGTGTTTCATTTAGAGGTGGAAGTGGGAACTCCATTCGACCCTGGATTGACTGAGTGCTAGCTCAACCGTCCAGACCACACCTACCTCAGAATCGCAATCAAAACTACGCTGGAAAAATGTAGCAAATTTGAAATGTTTATAGCCGAACTGACAGTTGGAACATGTGTATTAAAGGATGTAGTGGTCAGTCGGATCGCTATAAGTTTCGTGTCAATCGGTTCGGTAGTTTTGGAGTAATAAACTATATACCAATAGGCAAAGGTGAGATTTTTACATACACGATTTTGCAGAGAACGCAGAAATTAGAGAAAATGAGTTACCGATTTTTTTTTATGATGTAGCACAATACCAAAAATTTATGATGCTACAAACGTGCTTATTTTGTATTACAAACATATGTACGTAAGCAGTTGATAACAGGTGTTAAACTTGCGCATAAATAATAAGCTCGCGTGGTGTTTGCGGTAGAATATTTTCAATTTTGTACAGCACGAGATTGTTTTAGGACCGCATGCAGATAAACTCACGTGCATTTGTTTAAAAAAAACTTTCATTTTATATTTCATCCAAGCATTAGCGTATGTATGAATAAATACAGCTGCGGGCAACTAATAGGTACCCTTCAATTCAGTTCTACATACAAATGATCAGAACGAGACTGCACCTGAAACTGAGAGCAGTTTTTTTCTACACACCATCGACGATTTAATGCTAAGAACGCATAAAATGTATCAATCTTGCAATTTTTTATACACAAATTCTATGGGCTAAAAAACTCAAATACTGAAAATCTTTCGAAGAAATCGAATTAAAAGGCTCGGAAATGTTTAGGGATGTTTGTTGATTTTTTTTTTAATATTGCACAAATTTATATTTATGCGGTTTTGGCTAAAGAATAAGCTATATTAAAAAAAATAACTAAAATTAAATAACAAAAACAAAAAAAAAATGTTGTGGTGCGCCTATAATTTTGACACAGGGTGTATAACAGATAGTATACATACTACTTTACATATTTTTATTTTCCTTTGTTTTTAGTTTTCTTTATTGTTTGCGCACTTAATTCATAGCGCAGGCTTCCACAATTTAACAAGAAATGTATTCTTAAATAAAACAGTAAGTTTTTATAACTTATGTAAATGATTATTATTCATTTTCGATTTTAATCGAAACGACCGATTGATCGGGTAATTTCTTACGATTAGTTGCAATTGTTAATCGAATGCTTTCGATTAATCAATTAACCGATTAATCGAATATTAATTTTTTTGCCATCACTATATATGCAACGTTTTTAATAGCGGCAATACCACGGCACAGAAATGTGTGGTTGGATTTATGGTTAGACGGAGATTCCGATTTGTCTCTGGGTTTAGCTCATCAGTGAGGGATTGGCCACCATCCGCATCAAAGGTGACTCATTTACGCGCAGTGTGACCAGGTTAGCCGTTTTGTGGCTAGGCTTAGCATATAATATTAAGCCATAGCCCCAGAACTTTCGGTCTGACTTCGCGGCTTTTTTCTGGCCTTTTTTACTTAAAATATTCATAGTAAATTTCGGACTCGAACTTATAAAAATAATTACCATATTAAAAATACTTAATATTTCAAAAACTTGGTACTGTTTACCGTTCAAATATTATACAAACAGAACAAACTACCATAACTTTGGGAACACCCTTTCTTAGCTTTTTCTTGGGTTAAAAAAAAATTTGCAAACTTTTTTGATCCAGGTCCAAACCGAAAAACGGTTGTAGCACGAAATAAAAAGAAGAAAAAATATATGAGGGATTCACAACGGTGTCGTAAGTGTCATATTGTTGTATGCCGTAAGCTTTAAAATCTTAAATAAATGTTTAGAGAACTTGAAACTACAACTAACTATTTTTTAACACTGCGAAAATTCATAATATGACTTTGATGGTACTTTAAAGTTTACTACATACAACAATACGACACTTACGACAACGTTGTAAATACCCCAATTAGAAAACCCCCAGAAGAAAAAAAACAGAGTTTGTCGATGCCGGTTGGGAAATTTTTGCATTTCAAAACGGACCACCATCAGTTCAGCCCAGCTGTACTTATATGTAGACACCAGGCCCGAAATATATATATACTTATGCTTCCACACAATTTTACGTAAATCAGTTTTCGCTTTGCTAATATTGCTTCCAAAAAAAGTTATTATCTAGTATTGATCAAAATATGACTAATAACGAGTTAAACAAAAACACTATACATATGTGGAATATTCTCCTTCATTACATTTGTTTTCAACATGGGCTTACTTTAGCTTATCTGTTTACCGCCAAAGAATGTAAATGTTTATCCTCACTGTCAAGTTTCCATCATATTCTCAGGCGTAAGCAGAATGTTATGTTCATAGAGAATTTTTGCCGCAGCGAGGCAGCAGCTGAAGCAATTTTCTAAACCTAAATATCTACATACATACATACAATCCGCTTCACTTGAATAAGAGCACATTTTTTGATCATGATTCGAGCTTATAACTGGACTTGTAGGCATCGGGGAAGCTTCGTTTTAATCTCATTTTGAAGAATGATCCATTTCTAAGAAAGCGGTGAAAATGAAGAAAACACTTTGGATTTTATTCCAATTCTTATCAAACTAAATATGTATATGAAAAGTATGCTTATTGTTTTGATTAACTTGAATAGGCACAAAATGAAATCAAAACGAAGTGTCTCTGATACCCAGCAGTCCAGATATAAGCTTTGATCTCGAGGAAAAAATGTGTTCTTATTCAAGTGGAGCGGAGTGTACTTATCACTGTAGATGCAGATTTTTTACTCTCGTAGTTTTTTATCCATTCAATTGCTTTTAATATAAAAGCCTCAGCAGCAGCAATAGTGCCATCATTAATAAAGTGAAAGCACTTTCGAACGTAAAATCGCCGGCATTTAAACCGAATACTAGTCAATCAATAGTCATCGAGAATGAAACGTTTCATCATCACATTGGCTATTGTGTGTAGCCTTTGCTTCAGCTGGGCTCTACCTCCTGCCAATATACCTGCTGTCGCACCACCACCACCGGCTACCCTAACACAGGATCTCGATGAGTTGTATCGCCTTATACCCGCTAAGCCACTTAACAAGTTGGTCATACGTTATCTGCTCAACGATGCGGAGTTCCAGGCTATTATACGCATCATAAATTCACACGATGCCTTCATGGTGCGTATGCGCCTTTACGCCCAGCCGGAGATCATACAATTCCAGTCGTGGGTGCGCTCTCAGCTGATGTTGTCTGGCGGCGGTTCTTTAGAATTCGAGGAATCCGAAGAAATTTTGAGTCTCTTCAATCCAACACCCTACTGGTCGGTTTATGGCTGGCAAGGATTTTTCAATGAATTCCTTGCATACTTCCCACAGGAGATGTTGCGCGCCCAAATCAACGCAAAGGTAATCCAAGGCGGTAGTCTCGCCCAATTCTGGGAGAAATTGAAGGCTTTGCGTCCGGTATATGAACGCGTTTTGGCATTCCCGGAATCGAAACGCATAATTACACAACTCGAACAGAATGGTGTGAATTTCAGTCAGTTAGATCAATACATTCGTTCATTGTTCGATTGGTTTAATTTGAATCCGGTCGCCGCGAGCGCCCAGGAAGTTAGCACTGTCCAAGCGCCAATTGCTCCACCGGCCGCCAATAGTATTGTAGCGTAATATGTTTCGATTATAATGCTTCTGGGGTGAATTCATGATTCATCACCAAAGAACGCTCAGGAAAAAGTGTTCACGAATAAAAAATCATTATTTTAAAAATTTAAATATCAATCGCTATAAATGTATGTATGTATATAAATAAATAAAAGAAAACTTACACACATATCGGTTTAAGGACTCAATTATTTTCTCCAGAAACAGGGACAAAATGGTACACTTCTCTAAAGGAATCCGATAATTTATTAATAACAAGCTATCATAGCGCTAAGCCAATTCGACCTTGCCGAAAGTAAATAAAAAAACAGGGATGAAGTTCTTACAGGCCTAGCTCAGCAAACTCTAGCGACAAGCGCGCTTATGTACTCGTATCACTTCTAAGAGCAATTAGACAAACCCTCACCGCAGCTCCCGAGGCGCTGCTAGACTTGTGTCCTCTGCTCATTGCAATAAAGATAAAGGGTGTTCTGTGAGTCTTACTCATCGCTGCACTGCGAAGGGAACATTTTTCCACTCTGATTAATTTTTACAACGCTAAAACCTGTAGAGGAAATGAGTCCGAGCCCCTAGTAAAAGACCGCCATCCAACTAAATATGACCAGGTACGTTTAGCAGTTTCGCAGCTGAAAAGCAACAAAGCTGTTGGAGCTGCCAGTCTGTTAGCTGAGCTATTCAAGGACGGTGGCGAGGATCAACTTGCATCAACTCTTATGCAGAATATGGTCGGATGAACTCATGCCCAACGACTGAAATTTAAGTGTGCTGTGCCCAATCGACAAGAAAGTTGAATAAGTCTTATAAAGCGTATGAACGATTGAAGCCCACCGTTAACGAATTGATTAGACTTTATCAGTGTAGCCTTACACCTGGAAAATCCACCATAGACCAGGTATTCATCATAGAAGACCTGCGAGAAAGGAATACACGCACAATCTATTTTTCGCCTTCAATGCAATTTTAGGCAGCACGAAAAGGAAATGCCAAAGCGCCGCGTTATCTGAAATTACTGAAAACTGATACGACTTTTTACATAAAATGAACAATATCAACAGCTCCGCTAGAAGGACTTTTCCGAGCCGTTTGATGATGTGGAGTTGGAGAAGGTAATAAGAGCTACAGAACTGAACCACTTATTACACGAGCGTACAATTGCTGGCGTATGCTCAGACATCGACATCATCTCCTGTCATCAGACAATCAGTCAGCGTATTCACGCTTTGACAGTTATAATTTCGAAAGGTAGAGAACTTCATTTGTCTGGGAATTAGCATTAACCCCGATAATAATGTCAGCCTTGAAATCCAAAGCAGAATTAGCCCTTTCCAATAAGTACTACTTTTTACTGGGTAGACAATTTCGGAATCATATAGTTTGAAGCGGAAGAAGTACGCTCTAAAGCAACCGTGCCCACTTAGAAGTTTCGTGACATCAAATTCTACTTCTTCATGTTTTCTTCCCAGCCAGCTATCTATATGTGGTCTAAGCCTGTGCGTCCACCGACCGTTGTTGGAGTGATCCTATCGCTGTTGCCACTGCTCCATTGTGCGACGTCTCGCTCGCGATTTCCAGCACTTTCCGTGGGGCTCGCCGTGGATAGAACCGGGCGTTTCTTGGACCAAGAGTTCGATAGGATGTAGCCCTGAGATGACCAGCGCTGCATCTTCTGACACCGTACGGAATGCCGAGCAGACGCTTAGTGCGCAAAGTGTATACACTGATCGTATTCTCTTGATGTACGATGGCGTGTCGCATGCAGTTGCCCAAACCTCCGACCCGCGGAGAATAACGGACTTGAGAACACCAGCTACCAACTTCCTTATGTTATGTCTTGGACCTCTTTTGTTGAGCATACGTTTTGAGAGTGCTCCATAGGAGGACGATGCTTTTTTCGGAAACGTAGTCCAAGTGGTCGTTAAATTTTGAGCATCGCGTCGAACTTGACGCCTAGGTACTTGAGTGAGGGTTTCGACTGCACAGTGGATCCTTTAACTCTTATTTCTGCCTGCTCTCTGATTTGCTGTTAGCTTTTTAGAAGAAGCTCTGTTTTCTGCTCGGCCAGCGCAAGGCCCTTCGATGTAAGCCAATCCACGTTGGCAGCAACGGTTACTTCCGCACATCGTTCTACCTTGGATAAATGTTTGGCAACAACTACTACGGTAACGTCGTCTGCGAACACGATTATCTTCGCTTCCGCGGGAACATGCAAGCGCAGGACGCCATCATACATGACGTTCCAAAGGAGTGGTCCTAGTACGGATCCCTGAGGGACACCGCCTGAAACTGTGTATTCTACCAGGCCAGTTTGCGTATCGCATAGTAGAATCCTATTTTGGAAGTACTTGGTGGTCAGTCCTATCAAATACGCTGGGACGTTAAAGTTCCGTAGCGCGCACAGTATTTTTTGCCAATAGAGCCCGGCGCCTGGTGTACAACACTTACTGAGCTTGTGCTGGTGCTATTATTCTGGCGGCCATTTCTGAAATTGTGGGCAGTAATCTGGCTAGTTTAAGGTACATATTTGTTAATAGTGTATGTACATATGTACATACATATATAGATACATATGTGTGTAAGTTCGCGCAGTCTGTTATATACAAATCGCGAACCTACATCTAAAGTGCGATCAACTAAAAAAAATTTTGGGAATTTTTTGCATAAATCAAATCATAGGACTTACATCCAATTAATGGAGATATTTTTTCCTCATATATACTAAAGGTCTGCAAATATACCAGCAGAAATACTCTTCACATGTGTACATGAGTAAATGGAACATAAATTTTAGAGTACTAAAAAAGATAGGAAGAAAAAAAGAGAACATCATAAATTTGAATAACTGAGCAATGTTACTCAACAGTGCTCTGCTACATAAAACACTGTTCCGCTTTTCCAAAACACTTGAGTATATTGATTGAATTCAGCAGTATTTGAAAACTTCATAGGAAGTATACGAATACTTATGAAGTTTTTTCTTTCAAAATGTTATCATTTAACATAATGTTAAGAAAATTCATAAATTTTATTTTCATTGTCGAATTTGATTCGTTGAAGAAAGGGGGCTTATTTTATTGTTTCGCGCAACTAGGGTTTAGCTAACATTTTGCATTGTGTATTATTTGAACTCTCGTTCGTGTGATCCGCAGAAAAATTATCTTAAAGAAGTGAGTAAAATATAAAAGAAAAATGTTTTAATTATAAACGAATATTGATAAAAATTACACAGGTTTACAAAAAAAGTGTATGCATATTAAACCAAACCTATATATCCCTATGTTATTCGACATGCTGAATGCGAATCCGAGGTCCGTTAGCCTCTATCACGTCAGGTTCGTGGTCAGTTGAACGTCAAGCAGGGAAAAATGCATTGAATAAACCGGAAAATTCATATATGTGGGGTCTTAGAACCCGAACCCGTTAACCTCCATAGTGTCAGGTTCGAGGTCAGTTGAGGGTCAAATAGGACAAAAAATTTATTCAATTAAAATAATGTTTTTTTTTTTTTGTTTTAGTTGTCGCTGAATTCGAATATGGGGGTCCCTTGATTCCTCAAGGTTATCTATACGAATTTATTGAACTTCCAGGTTTATTCAATGAATTTTTCCCTACTTGGCCTTCAACTGACCACAAATTGACGTGGTGGAGGCTGACGGGTTTTGGATTCGCATTCAGCGTGTCAAATAACATAGGGATATATAGGTTTGGTTTAATAAGCATACACTTTTTTTCTAAACCTGTGTTATTAAGCTAACACCATTAAATTTAGCATCAGCAATGGAAACTGAAACGCCTACCATCCAAAATCCCACCAATGCGCAAATTAAAACAAAAATTTCAAACGGAGAATATAAATTGGTACAAAGGCAAGGTAGAAGCAGGGTGTGGGAGTTTTACGCAGGAATTCAAAATGAAGACGGACAAGAAATCGACAATATAGTGGCATGCAAAAGGTGTAACAGCGTTCTAAAACTCAACGACAAAAGCACGTCAAATTTGTTGAAGCACAAATGCTATCTCATTTCTAGTTCAGATAGAGATAGACATGTAGAAATACAAGTAGATAACGAGTCCAAAAAAAATGTGTACGCGTTGTAACACAGTGGGCAATTGAGAACTGCAGATCTTTTAAAATTATATCTGATTCGGGACTGCATAAATTCGCATCATTTTTGATCGCAGTTGGTGCAAAATATGGTGAACACGTCAATTTGGAGCATTTGTTGCCTCACCCAACAACACTGTCCCGAAATGTAAAAAAACTTTATGATAAACATTTTAGTCAGGTAAAAACGGAACTTAGTGAGGTTAACAACAACGGGTTAGGGATAACCACGGATTTATGGACAGATACCTATCTGAAAAAAAATTATTTAGCCGTGACTGTTCACTTTGTTCGTGATGGTGTATTAAAAAGCAAACTTCTTGGGCTTAAATCAATGGAAGGTGACAAAAGTACTGGTGAGAAAATATTTAAATATATCTAAGCATAGGTGTAAATATAAATATAAAAATAAATAAAAAAAAAAATAAAAATATAAATATAAATATAAATATAAATATAAATATAAATATAAATA